GGTCGCATGAACAGAAGAGGGTGGGACTCGGAGCCCAGGCAGCACAGGGAAGTAGTCCATGATCTGTGACTGGACTCAGGCTTCCTGCCCTTCCAAACTCAAACTGGGCCAACGGGCTGAGGGGATCAGGCAGGCCTAAGGCTGTTTTCACCTGACACCCTGAAGATGGGCAGGCAGCACTAAGTGACTGGAGAAGCTGATCCTGGGCTTCTCTTGGCCACAGGTGACAAGTATTGGGTGTTTAAGGAGGTGACAGTGGAGCCTGGGTACCCCCACAGCCTGGGGGAGCTGGGCAGCTGTCTGCCCCGTGAAGGTATCGACACAGCTCTGCGCTGGGAACCCGTGGGCAAGACCTACTTTTTCAAAGGCGAGCGGTACTGGCGCTACAGCGAGGAGCGGCGGGCCACGGACCCCGGCTACCCCAAGCCCATCACCGTGTGGAAGGGCATCCCACAGGCCCCCCAAGGGGCCTTCATCAGCAAGGAAGGATGTATGTAAAGGCCGGGGTGGGGTGGGAATGGGGAGCTGGTTTTATGTGGTCCTCATCAGTGCCCATGGGCATCCTCAGTGCCCATGAGCCTCCAGGCTTGAGAAGACACCTGAAGGGAGACAGTTGTCTCCTATCTCCTCACGTTCACATGGTCCATTAGTTCACTTACCAGCTGCCAAGTCACTCTTTTTCATCTGCAGGAATGATTCACAACAGAGAGATGTCATAGGCTGACATGACTCCTTCAGACAGCGTCTCTCAAATAGTTATCCTCAGGTGTACTCCAGGGACTCCTTGAGTCACCAAATCTGAAAAGCAATGATGGGCATGCATGTTTCAAAGGCACCTTTTCACAGGGCTTAAGGGCATGAAGATGAAAAGAAAACCTTAAAAAAAATTTTTTTTTTAATTCTAAGAGATAAGGTCTCACCCTGTCGCCCAGGATGGAATGCAGCGGCACGATCATAGCTCACTGCAGCCTCAACCTCCTGGGCTCAAATGATCCTCCTGCCTCAGCCTCCTGAGTAGTTGGAATTATAGCCACATGCCACTGTGCCTGGCTAATTTATAATTTTTGTAGAGACAGGGTTTCACTCTGTTGGCCAGGCTGGTCTTGAACTCCTGGCCTCAAGCAATCCTCCCACCTCGGCCTCCCAAAGCCCTGGGATTACAAGTGTGAGCCACTGCATCAAGAGAAAAACTTTTTACATTTGTGTTTCCTGAACTCCTCCTAGAAGCCATGCTGGCCACCAGCCCCCACAACTGCCATCAGTCACTCACAGCCTGTCTCCCCACCAACCTATGAGCTTCTCAGGAGGAGCAGCCAGCCTGGCCAGATGCTGAGTGAGTCTCCAGGACTGTATGTTAAGTAGATCTCCATTGATATGGTCAAAAGCACAGCCTCTAGAGCTGGAATGGCTGGGTTCACAACCACTATAGTACCACTCACTATGAATCTGAGCAAATCTCTAATTTCTGTTTTCTCATTTATAAAATGAGGATAATAATGGGACCTGCCTTTATATAATGGTTTTGTGAGGATTAAATAAGATAAATTACATGGCATACTTAGAAATAATGCCTAGCACACAATCCATGCTATATGTTTTAGCTGCTATTGTAGTCATCATCATCATCTTGTGGGTTTCGGTTTATGTGGATTAACAAGATTCATTCATTCACTCCATAATAACAAGCAGCTTGTGTGGTGGGAGCTGGGGGCGTGTCAATGAACAGGACCTGCATAGGTCCCAGTCCAGGGGCATAAAGCTAGGTAGCAACAGATGCTATAAGGGAAAGACTCCCAGCACTTTGGAAAGCCAGGGTGGGAGGATCACTTGAGGCCAGGAGTTTGAGACCAGCCTGGGTAACATAGTGAGACTCCATCTCTACGAAAAAAAAAAATACAAAAATGAGCTGGGTGTGGTGACATGTGCCTATAGTCCCAGCTACTTGGGAGGCTGAGGCCAGAGGATTGCTTAAGACCAGCAGTTTGAGGCTGCAGTGAGTTTTGACTGCACCACTGTATTCCAGCCTAGGCGATGGAAGGAAACCTTGTCTTTGAAAAAAAAAGAAAGAAAGAAATGCTGGGAGAGAGCAGTGAGCTAGAGGGGGCCATGTTAGAGACTAGAGACAGCTGGGAAGGGCTCTCCGAGGAGGCATCACTCATAAGAACGCCAATGGCCACAGCCACTATTTGTTGGCTGTTTTGTATACCCGATGCTTTAAACACAAGATCTCCCTTTTTGGGGAGCCTCAGAGACAGGTGACATCAAGGACCTAGACCAATGAAAGTCCTAGCCAGGGTGGGGAGCCGGCCAATGAGGACAGCCTGAGCAAGCTGCTTTGCCCACTGGCTGGGCTGCTCAGGCTGTTGCTGGAGCCATGGGGTGGCTGCCCAGGGAGTGACTGGCAGGGCTGCCCGCCCCTCCCCCATAAGACTCACAAAGACCCTGCATCTGCATTGTGAAGTGATATGTGCCAAGCCAAAAAAATCCGTAATTGCAGAGAGGTAGTGTCTTGCTGTCAACAGAAGGAGAAATCTTGCCCCCTGCCTCTCTTGGCTCAAGCAGGAGCTGGGCCGAGGCCTAATGGGACTCACATGGGCAGGGCGGGGGCGCCTGTGGGCACAGAGTAACAGAGCTATGACCCAGGCTGCATGCAAAGGGACCTGTCTGGGTGGCACAAAGTGAACCAAGTCCCAGTTCTCCCTCTGGTTTCCCAGCACCTGTGAGATGACAGGCAAGCCACTCCAGGTCCCTGGCAACCCCATCTGTAGCTTCACACTCCATGACTCAGTCAAGCACTGCACCCTAAACCTCCAGGTGTGCCCACCTTGCCTCCCCTGCCACAGCGCCTGATACCCTCCCTCTCATACTGCCCCAGAGCAGGTGCAGGAAGTGTCTGGTAGTGGTGACGCTGGGCTGTATTTCTGCAGATTACACCTACTTCTACAAGGGCAGGGACTACTGGAAGTTTGACAACCAGAAACTGAGTGTGGAGCCAGGCTACCCACGGAACATCCTGCGTGACTGGATGGGCTGCAACCAGAAGGAGGTGGAGCGGCGGAAGGAGCGGCGGCTGCCCCAGGACGATGTGGACATCATGGTGACCATCAATGATGTGCCAGGCTCCGTGAATGCCGTGGCCGTGGTCATCCCCTGCATCCTGTCCCTCTGTATCCTGGTGCTGGTCTACACCATCTTCCAGTTCAAGAACAAGACAGGCCCTCAGCCTGTCACCTACTATAAGCGGCCAGTCCAGGAGTGGGTATGAGCAGCCCAAAGCCCTCTCTGTACACTCGGTCTAGCCAGCCAGGCCCTTCCTCACCAGGGTCTGAGGGGCAGCTCTGGCCACTGCTCACCAGGGCCAGCAGGGCCCTAGGCTGGGGTCGTACAGCTGAAATGGTGGGTGCATTGGCCGAGGCTGAGTGTGGGACAGGGAATTATGGGGGCTGTGCTCCAGGGTGGGTGTCTGGCACCCAGCTGCCAGCCTTCTGTCCTGGGTAAACTACTTCCTACTTAAGGGAATAGGCCAGGTCTCCATCTGGAGACAGGGACCATGCCAGGAGGAGCCCCTGTGGTCACGGCTTCCCGTGGTGTCCATGAGGCACCATAGCTCCATTCCTGACTAGGACTCAGCACCCTCTGTGGGAAGCCAGCACTAGCTCTCAGCCCCCATCTGGGAGATGCCACCAGTCCTGGTCCCCTTTTGCCAACACCTGCTGGTCAGATGTCCCCCCACCCCCACCCTACTGTCCTCCAAGGCTACAGGACCCCTGCTTCTGACACAGTGGGCAACAAGCCTGGGTTTCCCTGCTGGCAGACAGCAGATCCCTCAGGAAACCTGCTCCACCTGCCAGGGTCTCTTCTGGGACCCAGGATTTAGGGTCACATGCTGCAGGCAGGGCTGTGGCCCAGCTGGGTCTGACAAGGACCCAGCTGTCACATCGTGAATATTTTAATGTCCTGTCACTACTGTTTAAAGTCCCATTTTGCAAAGGCTGCTTGAGGCTTTAGGTGAACTAGAGATGACTGTCTTGGTGATGAGGCCAGCATAGCGGCCCTCTCCCAGGCGACAAGGACCAAGGTGCTGCTAAGGCCACTCTAGCGCCCAGACAACCCAGTAGCTGAGCCCTGCTCCTGAGGCTACAGAGCTGGGGCAGAAGCTGACCCCATCTCTGGAGGCAGATCTGAGTTTGTGACCGTCCTCCACTCCCCTCTGTTGTCCCCGTCCCCAGCTTTGCTCCAGCCTGTCACTTGCAGCCTGGGGCTCAGCCTCACTAGTTAGGTGAGGTGGAGACAGCAGCAGGGCCAACAGTGGCAGGGCCTGGGAGTCCTTTGGAAGTGGCCCAGGGCATTCTTCTAAAATGCTTAGTGCCCCTACTCCCAACTACCCCGAGGCCGATTCAATGTCTTGCCAGAAGCAGTGTTTTCCCAGAGCTTGGCCCTTGCTGACCGTGCTCACTGGGCCTATTTTCCCATTCTGCTCTTAGGAGAAGGGCACCCCTATTGGTAGCGGCCCCAAGCTGAGGGGCCTCCCTTTTTGACCTTCACTGGCTCACCCTTCATGGTCTCTGGCAGGAGTTCCTAGGGCTCGGCTTGCTTGGCTCCAGTGCAGCGGAGGCAGCCCTGCTTGTCACTGAGGAACCCCAGGCAAGACCAGTGGGTTCAGTGACGCTCACTGGCTCTCTGCCAAAGCCAAAAAGAGGTGTCAGGCAGTCTCCAGTGTGCTGGCCAGGTATTGGATGCCACCCCTGCTCGCTGAGCCTGCATGGGCCTTGCCCCTGACCCTGTGGTCTCTGGGATTGGGGTAGGCTTACCCTGTAGCACAGACAGGGACTCCTGCTTCCCTGGTAGCTGTCTCAAGCAAAATCTCTTGTCCCAGAGGTGCCCATGTGGGTCCGCTGTGTCCCCTGTCATCATCCTTGTTTTTTTTCATTTTGGCCAAGGGCAGGCTCCCTGGGACAGGCAGGGAACAACTGCGGAGATATTAGTGATTCATAGGTTTGTACAGTGTTTTATACTTTGCAAAGCACTTTATTAGCTCACATCTGTCCACTCACATGAAACTCGTGTAGGCCCTGGGAGGCCAACGGTAACTCTCACCGTGCCCTCAGATGAAGCACAGAGAGGTTGTTACTTGCCCGGGCCATCCAGTGGGCTGGCTGGGCCTTGTGTCCCCATCTGTGGACCCCTCTAGGGTCTGAGATGAGAAGTGTCTCCTGTATCCACCTCTTCCTGGTCTCCTTTCCCCCACTTCCTGGTCCCTGTCCACTCCTCAGGTTGGTGCTCTCACTTCTTGAAAGCTCTAGGCACCCCCGCCTCCCACCAGGCGTTGGCTCCTGGTAGGCCAGCTGAGAATGAGCAGGAGATGGAGGCAGGCAGTCCAGGCCGCAGAGGTGAGGGATGTGGGGCCAGGCCCAGAGGGCTCAGCCTAGAGGCTTCTAATCTCAGATTCTCCTGCCTATGGTCATCTGTTTGTCCATCACCCCAGGACAGGGTGGACAGAGGGGCAAAGAACTGGGGACCCCAGAGCCTCAATTCCCCTCAGCCTGGGGGACATCACAGCATTTCAGTGTCAGTCACATTTTAAACTGATCAGCCTTTGTATAATGTTTTTTAAATCATTTCTAAATAAAACAGAAATACAGAGTGTGTCATTTCCCTGGGATGAGGGAACAAAGATCAAGTTCCAAGAGTGACCTTAAGAAGTTTCTGGGAGGAAAGCCAGGCGGTTTGGGGTATCTGGGAGCTGCCCCATGCATTTCATCAGCCAGACCGGCAGTCAGATATCCTCCCTCTACAAAAGGCTGGCCCTGGAGGCCCAGGGTTATTGGGGTTCCGGGAACACAGCCTCATGATGCCTCCTTAGGATCCAGGATGGGGAGCAGCGCCCCTCAAGAGTATGGGGAGGGTTGTTGTGGCACGGGATTCTCAGAAGTCAAGGCCCCTGATGCCATGACCTGGGACACATAGTCAAGAACACGGTTCTCAGCAATAAATATATTAATGAAAGCAGGCAAGGTCAGGAGGTCAGCAGCTTTGCAGGCTTACCAGGAGGCCTGCCCTGCTGCCTCTGGAGGCCAGTGACAGAGAGGGCTGCCCCGGACCCAGCCAGCCGGAGAAGGGATGGGGTGGGCACGAAGGGATGAGCTGGGTCTGGCTGCAAGCTGGGAAGCAGGCTGGGGTCGAGCCTGCGAAGGTGGCCCTGCCGGGACTTCATTCCAGTCCCCGGCAACCTCTTCGAATTCTCTGCTGCCTCTGGGGAGCCGCGGGAGGGAGTATAAGAGACAGAGACGTGGGGACAGGAGACCAGGCAGACAAGAACCACAGGGAACGGCGGGCAGACGGGCGGCATCCTCAGGAGGGCGCCGTCAGTACCAGGAAGTGCAGGCGATGAGGAAGCGCACATCGTCCAGCGGCCCCCACGGGCCGGGGTCGGGCTGGGGCTGGGGCTGGGGCTGGGGCTGGGGCTGAGGCTGAGGCTGAAGCCGGGGCCGCTCCGCGCCCTCCGGCACGGCGGGCTGGGGCTGGGGCTGGGGCTGCACAGGGTCCGGGTCGCCGCGGCCGCCGCTCAGCTGAGCCCCCATGGTCTGCAAGAAGAGAAACCCTTCAGGTCTGAGTCGCCGGTAATCTCCTCTAGGGCCCCGCCCCGGCCCTGCCCTCACCTGGTACGGCCACACCCGCGGGCTTCCCGGAGTCCACCTCGGCTACGGGAGGAGCTGGCGTCGTGACGTCACCGCGCACCGACCTCGCCCTTCGCGCGTTGGAGCGAAAAGTCAGGACTCGATCCCGGGCTCCGGGGCGGGGCTCCACGAAAGCACCCGGCCAATCCCGCCCCAGCACTTCGAGGCCCCGCCCCACCAAAGGGACGGCCTGCGCAGCCGCTCCCTCTAAGGCGCCCAGGCCCGGAGGCCTCTGGGAACCTGCTGTCCCGACCCACGCCCACCCAGGTAAGGACCTGCAACCTCCATCCTCCATAGACAGAATGCCCAGAAGCTGGATGCCCCAGAGCTCTCACGGGGGCCTCACCTTGCTCCGAGTAAAGTCGGAAGACTCTCAGGCTTTCAAGGACAGAGAAGACTGGAGCAGAAGTCGGGGGCCGTGGCTCACGCCTGTAATCCCAGCACTTTGGGAGGCTGAGGTGGTGGGTAGGTCACTGGAGCTCAGGAGTATCAGACCAGCCTGGGCAACAGAGTGAGACCTTGCTTCTACTAAATAAATAAATAATAGAGATAGATAGATAAATAATCGCTTGAGCCGAGGAGGTCAAGGCTGCAGTGAGCCATCATTGTGTCACCACACTCCTACCTGGGTGACAAGAGTGAGACCGTGCCCCAAAAGGAAAATAAAAACGTGAGAACTGTGAGAACTGTAGTGGAGAGTGTTTCTTGCTCCAAGATGAGGCCTCCCATCCTGATGGTGAAGGGAATGGCGTGTGTGGAGGTGGGGAACTGGGTATGTATTGTGGCCATCCCACCCTATCTTCCCAGAATGCTGGAGCAACTGGAGAGTGCGGGGATTGTACACAGGCTGAGGGCCCCAAACATAACATTCAGAATGGCCAGAGGAAGGTGCACTTTAATGGGGTGGCACAGAACAGCAGAACCCTCAGCCAGCAGCCACAGGGCTTGCCAGCCAGCACAACAGAGCAGGTTTTTGCATGATGATAAGATCCAGGCAATGAGCACAGGTGGAAAAGGGTTGGGTGCCCAGCCACTCAGTCCCAGTGAGCTCTCTGCCACCTCCCTGCCAGCATCCAGTACAGATTGGGCGGAGCATGGAGAAGGTGCCAAAGTCCAGAGCCAAGAGCCCACGGAACAACTTGGAAAGTGACTCAGGTGAGGCTGAAGAAAAAGGAAAGTGCACAGTCAGTAGCTGTTTCACAGAGCCTGCCTCACCCTCGAGGTGCCTGCCTCCGCCCTCACCCCCAGATCAGCTCTGAAAAGCTGCTCAAGCAGCTACAGCTCTAATATCCTAGCCCTGAACAAAGCCACAAAGATGAGGATTAGCAGATGCTCAATGAATTTTTTATTATCATGGTGAACTGAAAAAAAAAAATGTGCTGGCTCTATCTGCTCAGCAGTATGCAGATATGCTCTCACACTCAAGAAGCTACCAGAACAAACTGGTAGGCTCCCATTCTAGATGACATTTTCCCCCATACTCGAAAAAGGCAAGTTAACCCCCAGCCCTGGGCAGAAGGGGAAACCCCAGGTACCTGTCAATAAGGGAATCCCGCATGCTGGTAGCAATGGTGCTAGGCTGGGCTTCATTCAGCTTGAAGACACTCTCCACCACTGACAGCTCTGTGCTAGTTGTGTCCAGGCCACAGAAGGCACACCAGTCGTTCACCACCATCCCAGCGGCAATCACCTCACTGCCTCGGTTCACAGTGCCTGCCTGCCAAGGGAAGGGCTCAGTGTGAGTCATGGCACCAGTTTCTCCCTCCTCACTGAGGACTCTCCCCAAACCTTGCTCCTCCCTGACCTGCAGCTCCAGTCCCAAACTGCAGCAGGTAATGACCCAGACTCCTGAACACAGGGCAAAAGGATCTGCCTCAGCAGGAGACGGGGTTCAGAGAACAGGAAGGCTTACCACAAGGGGGACCTGAAGAAGAGAGGACAGCTCATCCTGGTCTTCAACTGAAGTCTTGGGATGCACCAGCCCTCCCTGATTGCTGAAGACACAATAGCTTCCTACTAGCACCTGGTCGGCCACTGTCTGTCTGAAGACTTCCACCTTGAGCACATCTGCCAGAATTTCTTCTGTCTCCTACCAGTTAAAGGTACTGTGTTCAGGGTCCAGAACTTACAGCCCCAGAACCGGGGCTCTCCATGCCCAGAAGCACTCAGGCCTTGGCTCCCTGTGCCCCTCATTTCTCCTATGTTATCTCATTTGAAAGCCTCACCCAGAGAAAGGAGGAAGTACAGCTTAGAGCAGAGTCAGGGCCAGCTGTGAAGCCCCTAATACTCATGCATGGAGGCTGGTCTCCATGTCACTTTTTTCCCTCTCACCTACAGTCAAAAGTTCAACAGTCAATCACCACAGGACTGGATGGTTCAATCTCCTGAATCCTTCAGGATTCATACCCTCCCCAGCTTCTTTCTGACACTGAAAAGGCCTCTGTTACCATTATTCTAATGAGTAACTGAAATTCAAGGACCCATATATAAAAAGAAACCACAAACGAGACCCCTAATTCCTGCCTGTTAGGAAAGAACAGTGACAGACCAATGACTAGGATGGCCCTGTGACGCTTGGGTCAGGTTGGGCTGCCTCACCCTGTCCAAGTCTGGGTGGACCAAGGCCACGTAGTCGTTGCAGGTGGTGACATTGCCCAAGGCTGAGAGCCTCTCCTCCACCCGCCGAATTTGCACTGAGTCTGGGAGGCTATTTCGAATGTGTTGCAGCTCCTGGTCAGTGGTATTGTTGGGCACCAGGAGACCGTGCCTGTTCCCTAGAGAAAACCAAATTAGAGTTGGGGGCAAAGGTGAACCATGAATACACAAGATGCCTGCTGAGCCCTAGGAGCTGAGGATACAACCCAACAGCCCAGCCCAATCAGCTTTCCCAGGAAAGCTTTAGGCCCAGAGCCCAGCCCTCCAACCCACAACCCACAACCCACAACCCATAACCCACTGATTCGTACAAAACCCAGGAGTCCCAACAAACACTGCCTATTTCACCATCATCAACTACAGGGGTGGGGGCGGGGGTGGGGGGGGTGCAACAGGAAGAGCTCTTGGCATTAGTTGTGTATTTTGCTACTTAAAAACTGAGATAACACTACACACATAGCAGAATGGATACTTTTTTTTTCCTGAGACAGAGTCTCACTCTGTCACCTAGGCTGGAATGCAACAGTGCAATCTCAGCTCACTGCAACTTCTGCATCCCGGGTTCAAGCAATTCTGCTTCACCCTCCTGAGTAGCTGAGATTACTAAAGCACACCACCTCACGGCTAATTTTTTGTGTTTTTGTAGAGACCAGGTTTCACCATGTTGGCCAGGCTGGCCTCGAACTCCTAACTTCAGGTGATCCACGTGCCTCGACCTCCCAAAGTGCTGGGATTACAGGTGTAAGCCACCGTGCTGCCAGAATGACTAAAATTTTTACAAGTCATCAATTCCAAGTGTTGGCAAAGATATATGGAGCAACTGAACTCTCATGCACTGAGACAGGAGCGTAAGATGATCAACCACTTCAGATAATTATCCGGCATCATCTACTATTAACTAAATAGTCATATAACCTGTGACTCTGCTATGCCACTCTTAGGTATTGTATATCCAGTAGAAATACGTTTGGGTTCACTTGAAAAAAAAACACAGTATCACTATTCCTACTAGACCAAAGTGAAAACTGCCCAAATGTACTGTCGATGGAATGTATGAATACACTGTGGTATACATACACAAAACACACCATACAGCAACAAGAATGAACAAACTACAAATACACACCTCTTAATTTCGAAATTCCAGGTCATGCCCATCATCTAATACACCAACGACCAAGCTACAGTCTCCCTTGTCACAACTTGCTCAAGTCCTAAGGGCATAGCTAGAGATCAGAGTGTTTTTTGGTTTTGTGTGTGTGTGTGTGTGTGTGTGTGTGTGTGTGTGTGTGTGTGTGTCGGAGTTTTGCTCTTGTTACCCAGTGGAGTTTTGCTCTTGTTGCTGGAGTGCAATGGCAGGATCTGGGCTCACCACAACCTCTGCCTCCCGGATTCAAGCAATTCTCCTGCCTCAGCCTCCTAAGTAGCTGGGATTACAGGCATGCACCACCACACCCAGTTAATTTTTGTATTTTTATAGTAGAGATGGGGTTTCTCCATATTGGTCAGGCTGGTCTCGAACTCCTGACCTCAGGTGATCCACCAACCTTGGCCTCCCAAACAGGCTTAAGATTTTTTTAAATTAAAATAAAATTTAAAAAATAAAGAAAGACTTTTAAAAGTGACCTCAATGAGCAAAACTAAGAAACAACGGGCAGTAGTAATGGGAGACAGATGCAGCTTAAAGAAAGGACCACGATGAACAGTGCAACAGGTAGGAAGGTAGGGTAGAGATGTGGTGAAGGGAATTTAAGGTTTCAATGTAACTGACCGCAAATCTTGGTTAATCTTTAGAGAGACAGAAATGGATGCTTAGAAAGAGAAAACAACTGCCTACAGTGGCAGAAAGAGATGAGACACAAATCCTCGGCTGGGTACAGTGGCTCTCGCTTGTAATCCCAACACTTTAAGGGACTGAGGCAGGAGGATCACTTTAGGCCAGGAGGTCAAGGCCAGGGAGGCCACGTGTCTACGGTCAGGGCCCTTGTATTTAAGTATCAGCCAGGTGTGATGGCACTAGCCTGTGGTCCTAGCTACTTGGTAGGCTGAGGTGGGAGAATTGAGTCTAAGAGGTTGACGATGCAGAGAGCTATGATCTTGCCACTGCACTCCAGCCAGGTCGAAAGAGCAAAAATCTTGTCTTAAAAAAAAAAGGGAGAAGCCGGGCGCGGTGGCTCAAGCCTGTAATCCCAGCACTTTGGGAGGCCGAGGCGGGTGGATCACGAGGTCGAGAGATCGAGACCATCCTGGTCAACATGGTGAAACCCCGTCTCTATTAAAAAAGTGCAAAAAATTAGCTGGGCATGGTGGCACGTGCCTGTAATCCCAGCTACTCAGGAGGCTGAGGCAGGAGAATTGCCTGAGCCCAGGAGGCGGAGGTTGCAGTGAGCCGAGATCGCGCCATTGCACTCCAGCCTGGGTAACAAGGGCGAAACCCCGTCTCAAAAAAAAAAAAAAAAAAAAAAAGGGAGAAAGATAAAAATCCTCCTCCACATTAGGAACTAGGCATGGAACTTAGTGAGTCAGTTAGGCTGTCTCAGCTTCCTCATCAGTCAAGTTAGGCCAGTAATTCCTACCTTTCAGTGTCTTTGTAAAGAAGGAATAGAAGGAATGAGAACAAGTGAAAGCACTTTACATTATTTGGTATTACTCTTATCCAGTAGCCTTTGCGAGAGGGTTGCCCCCGACCTCCTGACGCTTGGCCTAAGAGATTCTACAGTGCCCAGAGATAATAGATGATACCCTGGGAATCCCTGGGTCACTCCGGGTTCCCTCCGGGGGTGTGAGTAATGGTGCTTGGAG